CCAGACGAAGGGAACAGCTAAAGAACAGAGGACGACTTGGGAATAAGGCCACAGGTGGACAGTGAATGGCTCCTCCCAGAGGAAATAAAAGACGAGTGAAAGGGGAGTGGAGTTTGCAGGAGACCATGAGTTCACTTCATTGGTTTGTGACTCTCTGAGACTCCTTGCCAGGTTTTGCAGATATCCGCCTGGCAGCTCTCCAAGCCAATGAAGGTCTGTGATCGTAAATCCTCCTTTGAAAGACTTTGCTGGAGGTGAATGAGCAGAATTCACAGGAAATTAATAAAAGGGGTTTTTGTCGGGACAAGGAGTTTGCTTCATGCTCTCAGGAAGCCTCGGTTAGGACAGTTTCTGGCAGTTCGGTGGCTGTCGTGACTCCATGGTTACACGGGTAGTTAAGCAAGAGGAGGCAGAAGTTCCAGGGTGTGTGTGTGCGCGTGTGTGTGCTCGCATGTGTCACCATCATGGCCCTAATTTAACAATTGCAGTGATTCCCCTTAACAAACGTGGCAAGGAAAATCGTAATAGGGGGCAAAGCTCCCTTAAGGAATGTCTCCGCTTAACAACCTAAGTTTTGGGCTCAATGGTGTTCGTACGTTGTGAGAAACGAAAAGTGACGTGTGTATTATGTGTATTTTCTTTTCTTTCAGTGGAGACCTACAAGTGACCGGAAGCGGCCACTGTACTTACAACACAGCCCAAAAGGCTCTGGGCAAGGAAAATTTCACGCTCATCCCAGAAGGGGTTAATGGAATTGAAGAAAGAATGACGGTGGTCTGGAATAAATGTGTTGTGAGTGGAATATAGAAGGAAAGATAAAAGGGAGGGGGGAACAAAGGGGAGGAGCAAAAGAAAGATGCACAGTGTCAGGCCTGTTGCAGTTTGGGCACTTAGGAAAGAAAGATCCTCGATTCCGCTTGCAGTGAAAGGTATACTTTTTTCAGAGTTTGTTGCAGCAATCACGTCCAGAAAGCACACACAGGTAACTGATTCAGCAGGATTCATTAACTTCTCTTTATATATAATATAACATGAAGTAAATATACAACACCCAAAGCAGGTTTTCCTACGTGGTAGCAAATACAAACAGACACAAGAAGAGAACAGTTTCAGTTTCAGTTCAGAGCAGCCGACTCAGCACAGACGCAGAGCTACAGAGCTAAGCCACGGCCAGGCTCCTTGCGGTCTTGAATCAGCAAACACTGTTTCAGTTTCCAAACAGCCCTCATTGGCTGACCCAGTTGCCAAGTCGATGCATTGGCTGGCCTCGTTGCCATGTCTCTGCCAAGTCACTAACTCTCATACACACTGACAACTTTTACTAAAGCCAAGCGGTGACAGCATTATTCAAATTGTGTCTCCAACAATATCATTCCTTTCCTTCTCTACAAATACGGTGGGGTCCTTTAGGCCCCAGATATTAAGTTTTGTTGAATCAGATGTCATTTACTGAGGAATCACATACATTTTCAAATGTCATGGTCTAGTATTTCCCCCTTGTTAATATGCACCATCTAATCCAACTTTTTAAGCAGGGGGCCGATTCATGGTCCCTCAACTGGGTGGGTGTGGCTAGGTAATCATGTGACTGGATGGGCGTGGCCAATTTAGCAGTCTATTTTGCCTTTGTCCTTGCTGTACTTGATTGATTGATTTAATTTGTATGCCGCCCACTCTCAAAGAGACTCAGGGCGGCTTACAATAAAAAAAGGGGGAGGGAGGGACATACAAAAACAAGACAACATTTAAAAAAACCACAATGTTCACAACTGAGGGTGGGGCTGGACGATTCAACAGCCCCAGGCCTGCCGGAACAGCCAGGTCTTGGTCGCTTTGTGAAAGGCCGGAAGGGTAGTGAGGGTCCGGATCTCAACGGGGAGATCGTTCCAGAGGGCCGGAGTAGCAACAGAGAAGGCCCTCCCCCGGGGAGTCGCCAGCCGACATTGACCGGCAGATGGAATCCGGAAGAGACCCAATCTGTGCGATCTTATAGGCCTTAGGGAGGGAATTGGCAGGAGGCGGTCTCTCAGGTAACCAGGTCTGATAACCATGTAGGGCTTTAAAAGTAACGACTAGCACTTGCCCCTCCCCGACTCACCCACCGGCTCTGGATCATGTAACTGCACTGGCGAGATCACTCCCTCAGTCAGCTGGCCCTTCCCCTCCCGCTTCGGCCTTACCTTCGGCAGCAGCGGCGTGCCCAGAAGTGCAGCTCAACCGGTGAAATGACTAAGCAGAAGTGCAGCTGGAGTGGCTGCTTGCTGGAAGATAAGGCCAATGGTGAGGGGTGTGGCGAGGGGCGGGTCTGAATCCCTCCACTCTGCGGGCCGGATACCTTGCATTGGCAGGCCGTATCCGGCCCGTGGGCCGTAGTTTGAGCATCTGTGGTCTAATCTGTAGAAAAATAGATCTGTGTCTGTTACTATAGCTTCAATTTCTGATTAGTCTACAGGTAAAATGGACGAGAACCAGTTTGTTGCCATCACTAGCTCTAACGCTGCCAAAATCTTCAATCTGTATCCGCGAAAAGGCAGGATTGAAGTTGGGTCCGATGCTGACCTCGTGATCTGGGATCCCGACAAGGAGAAGACGCTCACGGCCAAAAGCCATAAATCGGTAAGACGGAACACCTCGGTTGATAGAACGCTGAGAAGGACAGGGTTGGAAGGGGCCTTGGAGGTCCTCCAGTCCAACCCCCTGCTCAGGCAGGAAGCCCTATAGCAGTGATGGCGAACTCTTTCAGCACCAAGTGCTCAAACCGGAATGCACATGCATGCACAAATTCCAGACAAATGATTGTCTAATGTCTTCTTAAAAAACTTCCAGTGTTGGAGCATTCACACAATTTGTGGAGGAAAGTTTAAAGGCTTCAGCTATTAAAGTCTTGATTTGTGATGAAATCTTTTTTTTTTCTTTCTTTCTTCAAACCAGTAAAATGTTCAACAAGAATTATGGAAGTGGAATATTAGGGAAGGTTTATTGAACTTGCAAAGGATTGTTTTGTTCTTTCCAGTCTGTGTGTTTTTTTTTTGTTTAAACATACGTGTTACATGATTAGAAAGGAGTGAAATACACAAACTTATCCACAAAATTAGGTATCCCATTCCTTGGTTTCTATGCTGCGAAGAATATGAAACATTAAGTCTTTATTGGACTTAAACTGAAATCATCCTCTTTTAACTGAGCCCATAATCCCTTGCTGGGTGGAGTCCGAGCACCTGAATGCAGCTGAGCAGGTATGGGTTGCTGCCGGCATTAATGCCGGTTCAGTGCACGGGCAAATTTTACGTGAGTGTGCTCACTTCGCTCACGTCCATGCACATTGGCACATAAATATGCCCACGCATGCACAAAATGTTAAAAAAATGAAAATAAATTAAATTTGTCCAATTAAAATTGCGCCGAACCAAAAATCAAGATGGCACCGCCATATGAGGACTGGTTTGGGGGCGTGGCAGGCCTGGGTCACTGCCGGTTCCAGCGACGCAGGCCGCCAAACCACTACCTGTTCGGCCGAAGCGGAATCAAAAACATTCGGCAGTTTGACCTAGTGGTTATTAGAACCTCACACGGGCCTATGAATTAATGCAAGGAAAAGCATGCCTAGATGTTCAGGAATAATGATATATTGTTGTCATTCTTTAGGTTGTTGAATATAACATTTTTGAAGGCATGGAATGCCGCGGGGCTCCCTACATAGTTATTAGCCGAGGGAAGGTTGTGTTCGAGGATGGGAATCTCACGATGAGGAAAGGAACGGGCTCCTTTATCCCGCGGAATTCCTTTCCAGAGTACCTTTATCAACGGATCAAAACTAGGAATAAGGTATGTTTACTCACTTCCTTGTCATCTTTTAATATTACACAACTTTCATTAATTATAAGTAGTCCTCAACGTGCGATCAGAAAATTCCTCCTTATTTCTAGGTTGAATCTCTCCTTGGTCAGTTTCCATCCATTGTTCCTTGTATGGCCTTCGGGTGCCTTGGAGAATAGCTTGTTCCCCTCCTCTCTGCGGCAGCCCTTCAAATATTGGAAGATGCTCTCCTGTCTCCCCTGGTCCTTCTCTTCCCTAGACTACCCAGGCCCAGTTCCTGCAACCGTTCTTTATATGTTTTAGTCTCCAGTCCCCTCATCATCCTGGTTGCTCTTCTCTGCACTCTTTCTAGAGTCTCCACATCTTTTTTTATAGTGTGGTGACCAAAACTGGACACAGTACCCTAGGTGTGGTCTTACTAAGGCTTTACAGAGCGGTATTAGCACCTCACTTGATCTTGATTGTATCTCTCTGTTAATGCAGCTTAGGATTGCATTGGCTTTTTTGGCTGCCGCTGCACACTGCTGGCTCATACTTAGCTGGTTGTGCACTAAGACTCCAAGATCCCTCTCACAGTTACTGCTATTAAGTCTTGCTTCACCCAGTTTACATGTTGTACTTAAGAAGGGAATAGCATACTTCCTTCTTAAGAGATTTTTCCTGGACACAATCGGATAACACTGACAGCTTTGGTCTATTTGAGTGGCCTGAGGTCCAGAACACTGCTTCTCACTTATTTAGGATCACCTACAGGCAGGGCCGGATTTAGATGAAAAGAGGCCCTAGGCTATTCCACTTATGAGGCCCTTTCACCTCCCATTTTTAAGTTTACATGAGAGACAATAAAATACATCATAACTGTGATATATATCAATATATATCAATATATATATAGCTGGCCTCCCGACG